GATGGTGTGCACAGGGTACCACAGCGAAAAGTAAAATCTGATTGGAGGGTGTACTGTTCATCCTGCTGACAGCCGGCGAAAGTCGCGTAGTAATCATTGGTACCCCCGAGGAAATAAGCGACAACTTAGTAAGTTGGTGTAAATCACATTGGACAGGCGATCGATGATGATATTAGTGATGACATGCATATAGTATATGAAAAAACATTAAAAAATTAATGAAATGAACTTGAACGTTTCGGTCCATTGAGTCGCACATGTTCCTATCTAGCACTGCGACTGGAACTCGCCAATACACCCTTTTGTAATTTATGTTGATTAAGAATAGCAGTGCAAATATAAATGTGTATAAATTAAGAACAGTACGAGTTAGGATGAAAACGAGTAGCAGTTAAAAAACAAATCTGTAAAAAGGGGTCATGTGAAATCTCCTGATTATTAAATATGTGGAGTAGTAAGGAATGAAAGGTTACCTGTGAGATCTATAATAAAAGAACTGCCTGTTATTGATGTTGGAGCATATTTTTTCGAAAAATTTTTACTTTTAAATATATATATATATATACATGTGTACTAGAGAATGTGCAGTTCAGGACCGGAAAGCTTGGTTTAAGTGCGCTCGCCGTGCAGGAACATTCCAGAAGCATAGGATTCTGGCACTGATTTTCCAAGAGGTTTCGGGCTTTTTGATATAAAAAGTCCAACACATCCACACCATAAATTTGACGAACCAGGAACTTTGGTCAATTTTTGGCTTGGCTGTTAGAAAACTTACAGTTACTTGCCAAGGTTTAAAACCGACCCGGAGACTAATTTTCTTTGGATTCTTCCCAGTGTTTCAAATTCGGCTTATTTTCTCAATATTTGTAAGACTTCGAAATGCAAATTTTCGAATATTAAAACTGAACAATATGAGATGGGTAGCTTGCAATCAGGGGTGAGTTGCTTGCAGTTTAGGGTATGTAGTTTGCATTTCGTTGATTCCTGACTGGTGGTCTTGGGCTCAGTTTTTGGTTGACGCTGCAGCCTCAGGATGAAGCTGATGCGAAGTTTCAGCTTATAATTTCATTTAAATTTTTTTTGTCTGAACAGGGCCAACAGCTTGAAAGCAATTTTAAGGCCTAGTTTTTCTTGGCCCATAACCACACTCCAAGTACAGGCTTTTGCTGTAACTGTAGAATAAAACAAGCTAATAATCCGACTGCTCTGTACGAAAACAAAACAAGAGGCGAAGCACTGTGTGTAATGATGCATTCACTAGTTAGTCGCAATAGCGCAGTGCGAAACGCATAACCGTGTCGATCCCTTAATGAACACTGCCTTTCATTTCGTTCTGCATTACACATTTTTATGCGGTCTTGCATATATGTAAACTGCAAAAACGCATATTGGGAAGAGGCTATTTGTGGGTGTGTGTGTGTGTGTGTGTGTCTGTGTGTGTGTCTGTGTCTGTGTGTTCGCACTTTTTGTCACCC